GTGTGTGTGTGTGTGTGTTAGTAGCAGTGAGGTCATGGTACTTGTCAACATAAAGTCATCTTTATTTATTCATGTAAGTATATTTGAAACCAAACGAGGTTGGCCGAAATACTGTACCAAACAAAAACAGAAGAAACCTAAACTCAATAAACTGAATTAAAGTGACAGCACAGGACACACGTTTAAGTATGATAGTCCTTTAATCAACAAAGACATGACTGCCTTTTAACATCAGGCCCCTTGGTGGGACAGACTCAGGTGACCTGATAGTGGAGTTTATAAGCATCACATTGGCTCAGTTATCTGTTAGGTGTGATGCCCTGGGAGCATTATTGTCCAGCACGGTAACACCAGGAGCACAATGATCAAAATAGTAATACTACGTCTTTAAATATAATCACATACACCATATATGTTCATATTTTCTGTTAACTTACATCTTTTAAGTTCTGGGATGAACCTTTTGTTTTCTGGTCTCTATAAAATGTTATTTGATGTCACTAAATATCTCAAAGAGGGTCTCTGTGGATGTGTATGTGTGTGTGTATTTCTGTGTGTTTTGTGCTGCTTTTAAGGCCGCAACAATTAGACAGTTAACGGCCAACTGTTTTGATGACCAACTATTGGGAAAAAATGACAAACATATGTGGGTTCCAGGTTCTCAAATGTGAGAATTTGCTGCTTTTCTCAGTGTTATATCACTAAATTACTTTTGCTTATGGACTTACAGAACACGTCATCTTGGCCTCTAGGAAATAATGGAAACTGTGTGGCTGCTTTTCACACTTGTATTTTAAAACTCCATCAACATTAAAGCTGATACGATCCAGCTTCATATCAGCTCTTAGTTTCTTGTTACTCTGCATGAGGAGCCTACCCCCCTGTATGAATACTGTGTGTATATTCCTCATGGGGTTATGCATAAGCAAAATTAAAAGTGCCCACGATGACACATTTCCCCCCTTAAATACACTATACATACATTCATGCAGTTTCACATATCCGAGCGCTTACGCATCATCAACCTGCTGACCAATGACAGAACAGAGTTTTTGTCCACTGACCAGTAGATACAAGGAATTCTGAATGTCAGAGCAGGTGGGAGAGGAAGTCAGCATCTTGAGTTTCAAGAGGTGGGTGGGGATTTTGCTGTGAGAGAGAGAGAGAGAAAGAGAGACAGAGAGAGAGAGTGGTGCCTTCCTACCCTCTGATCAAGTCTACAGACAGCAGCACTATTTCTGTCCCCCAATCAAGTATATCCTGTTACCCTCCCACTCGTTTTTACACACACGCACCGCCGTCTCCCTCCTTTCTAATATGATCTTTCCTTTCTCTCTGAAGTGTTTTGCTGTTGTTTATTTTTTATGAAGCTTTCCACTCAAATTAAAAACATATTTTCTCTTACAACTTACCCATAGTGGTATCTAGTCAGACAGACACAGCTGCTTTGGTTCATGGTGCAGCATGAGTACAGATCTCACAAATCCAGAAATGTAGTTGAATGTAAAATGTTTTTTGCCCCCCAATCCCCATTTATCCAATACTTGTATGTTCCTTTATAATACAGATGATTGCTCTGCATTGCACTAAGAAAAGAGTGCAATGTTCCTTAATGTTTTTATACATAATATATTAATATTAATAGATATTTTGTATACTTACATATTGATATTAATTATACCAAATACGTAATAAACAAAGTAGGATATAAAATAGCCTAACAAACCGAAGAATTGCATCCTCGTTAAGATTTTCGCATTGACTTGGTACCGAAGTATCGGTTCTCGTGACATCCCTTCCATTAATAAAAACATTTAAAAAAGCAACTTGCCTTTTTTCCGAGAGTCCATGTAAACCTGGATGAAAATGTCAACCAGTACTATTGAGTATTGGTTGGAGTGTAATGTTAGGTATTCTTAGAAATGAAGCACATCATCAACAGAAGGAGAAGTAGATGAAGCGGGCTGTGGGAAACAGGACACAACGAAAAGTAAACACTGTGTGACAGACCAATGTGTGCAGGCTTCTAAAGAATTAGCTGAAAAATCCTTTTGTGTCTTTCCATCCAGGCTGAAGTTCCCGTCGGACCTGGATGAGCTGCGGGAGCTCGCGGAGATGCTCAAGTTTTATAAAACAGAACATCACGGCTATGTTCTGCTGCTGTTCTGCAGCGCCTACCTCTACAAACAGTCCTTCGCCATACCTGGCTCCTCCTTCCTGGTGAGACATACGCAGATGAGTACACATACTGTACACACACAATTGCATGATTTTAACAAAACCTGAAGAGAGGATAAGCTGTCTGTCTTAAAACATACAGTCTGGAATGATGGAATTCATCTCAGAACATCTCTGTCTTAACAAGTCATATTTTTATTCATGAAGAAAACACGAATGAAAAACAAACACATGCCATTTTATTGATTGTAGTGCATAGATCTGCCTTACTCCTTGCTTCCAGATGCTGACACTCATTTCACATTTCTATATACGTTTTGACAAACACGTGGAGGAATGATGCACAGTGTTTGGTTGACACAAAATGACTTTAATCCAAGTATCTATTCTTCCCTCCCTCATTCAGAACATGTTAGCTGGGGCGATATTCGGGCCGTGGGAGGGTCTGGTGTTGGCATGCCTGCTCACCACTTCAGGCTCCACATTCTGCTTCCTGCTCTCCTTTGCGTTTGGAAAGCAGCATGTGATTCAGTTCTTCCCCGAGAAGGTGGCCCTGCTGCAGAGGAAGGTAAGCGTCGCCATTCAGTAGTAGTATCGTGTTCAAAGTAAGGTTTGTGAGGGTTTGTTTAATTAAAATTCAGGAATTATACATTTTCTATGCTGTGTTTTCAGTATCTCTATGTAGAGTTTACATAAACAGGAGCTTACTTTTATCGACTTTTTCCTTCATTTCCTCATACTATCTTTCCTTTTACCTTCCTTCTTCCCTCTAATCTTCCTCCCTCTGTCAGGTGGAAGAAAATCGTAGCAGTTTGTTCTTCTTCCTCCTTTTCCTTCGTTTCTTCCCTATGACTCCTAATTGGTTCCTTAACATCACCTGTCCTGTACTCAACATCCCTATGCCTATTTTCTTCTTCTCTGTGCTCATAGGTGAGGCTACACACACTAAAACACACACACACACACACACGACACAAACAGATACAAACACTGAACACTCGGCTGCTGCTTTGTCCTCCAGGTTTGATCCCCTACAACTTCATCTGTGTTCGCACTGGCTCCATCCTCTCAGAGATCTCCTCTCTGGATGATATCTTCTCCTGGGGGACGCTGGCCCAGCTCCTGGCCATCGCCCTCATGGCTCTTGTCCCTGGAGCGCTGATCAAACAGTACAGCAAAGCTCACCTGAAGGTGGACGGTATGGACAGTAATGGACAAGCTGAAATTAAGCAGGACCGCAAAAGACGATGATTCTGGGATAAAAGAGGACTCACTGGGTTTGGTTTGACACAACATCATGTAAGAAGGGGAAAAAAAAACTCTCCCATGGCAGGCATGTGACATTTTAGCCTCGTGATTTCTGTAAGGTCACACCAAAGGCCATCATACTTATAGTGTGATCTGTTCTGAAAGTTTGGAAATGTCTTCAGGTCACGTTACACCAGGCTTCAAGACTGCAGTTTCCCAAAGATCTCTCAATGCTAATACACAGAGCTAAGGTTTTAGGGAAATTTTCTGAGATGGGCCCTGAAAGTCCTTGGATTTACACCAAAATATGGTCTTAAAAGTTAAAAGAGGCTGAATGGTGGCTTTTGAAAGTGCTACAGTAGCTTTAAAATGAATGAAATCACACTGATCATCTTGACATGAGATCATTGTTTTAAAAATTGGCCCGTAGAGTTGGGGTAAGGGATTCTAGATAATGCTAATTCACTTCTATTCAAATTCAGCTATATCTCCTCACGGTCCGCTAGCTTCTGGCTCTGTGTGTGCTGCTCTGTGTGCTGGCGTTTGTTCAGCCCTGGCTCTGTAAATTGGAAACAAGCAGTGGATCGGACTGAGCCACACATCGCTAACTTGTTTTTCCAGCCATTCCAGCTAGGATTTGTGTGTCAGGTAACATTAAATGACTTGCCAAGGGACATTCAGCTCACTTTCTAGTTTGCCAAGATATGCTGTTGTTGTGATGTTAGCTGTAGTGGCAGGAGAGTTGTGAGTATGGCTGTCTGGAGCTGGTGTGCTGTTGACGCCTCCTCTCTGCATGTTCACTGCACAGCATCAACTTTAGTAACAGTTTGCATACAACATAGCTAACATTAGTTACATTACAAGCTGTGTCTTTGTTCACACTATATCATGGTAGTTGTCATAGTATTTGATTTCTCTAGAATCGCTTACCCCACATATAATGTGTTAACTCTGAGGAATGACCCCAACACACGAACATTTAAATGTATCCAAACTAGATCTTCATTTTCAGTCAATTGTTGAGATATTGGAAATTAAACATCCTCTCACTGTCATTATTGCTGTCTTACAGTACAGTTTCCATCTCAGGGCCAACCAAGGGCAACCTATCATGCATTAAAGGTGGTGGTCTGTCGTGCTTTGTGACGTTTCTCTCTCGATCCACCATGACTGCAGTTGTAAATGTTGACCTTCTGTCTAGTGTATTGCCATTGTGCCAAGTTATCACTAGAGCTTTAAAAGTAATTTGCCCTGTGTAATAAATATGTAGTGTAGAGCTGCAGAGGACGCCCCACTTGACACTGCGGTGGAGAAATCTGTTCTGGCTTAAACACGTATGTATGTCCTCACAGACTTTAGCCACTTTTCGTTTCTTTAGTTCTTTGTTGGTTTTACAGTCTGCTGTGGATGATGGAAATCAGACAATAACCAGCTAGAGGCAATAATGTTTCTTCTTGTTGCATATGTTTACTCAGTAATTCAGTTTGCAGCCTTTAAGGTTCCAGGAATTGGATTAGGAAAAAAAAATATTTTAGCGCATTTGGAATTAAAGATTGAGCGTGTCCTTTCCTAAAGCACTTACACATGTGTCTTAATGTAGTTGTGGCTGTATTTACAAATGAGTTTTACATTAAGATCAGGTGTGATCTTCTCGTGGTAGTATCAAGAAAGAGAAGACAAAATTAATTTGAACAACATAGTGAAATGTGATGCTTTTCTGAACTCAATCAGTTTGGAGTTAGCAGCTCCCCAAACTGTACTAAAATATAAAGGTATCCTCTTCTAGTCTGAAATAAAGTTTTGTATGTTTTCTATATAACATTACCTACATTATGATCTTGTTGCTGCCAAGCACATTGAGTCTTTTACTATTAGGCTTATGTGCAGGTCAGCTAACAGATTAGGCAAATTGCAAATTGTCAAGAGCACCTTGACATCACCTTCACTACCTCTCTTCTTCACTAAACTCAGACAGTGTAGGGTTTTCAAGAGTGTTCAGAAGCAGATACTATGTAGGTATCATATGAATGTATGTGTTCAGTTAGTGGAAGTTGGCATACATAGGGCCTTATCTTTTCATCTTACAAAAGAAAACCACCAGCTTTGGTTTTAAGTTACTCTCAAGGTAATGGAATTTAGTTTGGAAACAGCCATGTGAAGATCACATCTTGTGCTCCTGTAATAGGCCTTTAACTGATGTTGGTGTTGCACTTTATGTTGGCTGCTGTCAGTGTAACAGCAGTAAGTTTGGTAATGTACTATTTTATTTTTCTAATCAGTATTTTGCAGAACAGAGTCTCTAGAGAATAGTCAAATTGTAGCTTCTTTTCGCTTGCTTTTACAGATCTGAATCGTCTACTGTATATTTTATTAGGTATTTCAGGATGATCTTTCGTAAAATGTACATGTAGTATTTTGTGTTTCTAATCTTGTACTGTAGCCTCACAGTGTAGTGACATTCCGGATTTTTACAGCTACGGAGTCACCTTTTTTATACGTCAGAATAGCTGCTCCCAACACAAACAGGGAAAATGTTGGTGGTTCCACTGTCATGAATGTCAAAAACACCCAAAGTGCCAGATATCCTGTGTTTATCTGCTGTTCACTTCCCAACAGCTAAATAAAATAAATTCAATGAGTTTTTTGTCAGCACATTGCAGAGGCAGTCCTATGAATACAGTTGCAAGTAAAAAAATTTTTTTTTTGCTTTTGACAATGTTGCTTTAAGTTTTTAAAGGGCTTTGTGTAGGTCTCAGGATGAGAGATTTTTGTTCTTGTCTTGTTTGACCAAAGAAAGGAATCTGTAAAAATGTAATAAAATTTGTTATGTCTGTTTACTGTTTCAGTTCTGAGTTACAATCAGAATCAATAATTGCTTGTGTAGTGACAAAGTAAAACACGTGGGATTTTGGATGCAAACAGTAGTTTATTTGTGCCTTTCTTTTGGTCACAATCATTGACCCTGATTGATTTACAGCAACACACCTGAAACAAAACATCCACAGTTACGCTGATCCGGTTTGCCAACAACAAAGAGTTACACCTCATATTAAAATCTCTCTCAGCACTTCCCTACACGTACACACACACATCACACAGAAACTTAAAGACATTTTTGTTCATGCACACAAACACACATACCTTCACATTGGCATAGGCAGGCACTCAACTAATTTTATCAACCAGTAAACACAAGGATCTGATGTGAACTGCATGAACTAAAATATGGTTGGCAAAGACACAAATGGATGTATATGCACATAGATTTCTTGTTTCTGGGAGGTTTGTGATGAAGAAAGGAGATCCGGATAAACAGAGGAATATCCTTTCTTTGGATGTAATGCTTCAGGTGAAAGGTTGACCTCGCCATCCTCGGATCACACTACTAGCAAAGGCAACAAAAACCTCAGATCACAGCACCGGTTTGACATTAGTGTGGTCGTTGTGTCTGCTCATATGTGCATATATCACCATCCATCCATCCATCCATCCAATTCTGCCAACACACTGTAAACTTCACAGTAACATGATCACGAATCAGCAGCAACTTAAGGGGCAAACAATAGTTGTAGTGTAGACAAAGAAATCTGTAAACAGTTCAGTAGTAGTTATGATTAACAGCCTAGAGTCAAGAACTTTAGCCAAGTCTGTTTTGTCTACAATATAAGCTAGTTTAGGACTTGACTCGTGACTGTATAAGATAACAAAATGAAACAAAAAATCAAAATGGACAGATGAGTTTTAGATGGGCTCTGGTGAATTTCTCACTTAATTACACACTTTTGAGTTCTTGAGGTCTTAAAAAACTTAATTTCTCCTGAAACACACTGTAGCAAAGACGGAGTCAGTCAACTGGTGCCAGATTTGGCCGCAAAGACTAATATTGCACCTTGGCTGAATGAATCCATTTAGTGATGTGACTGACCACAATCAGTCCCAAACAAATGTTTCAAATTGAAAGCGGCAACACAATTACACAATGCAAAGATAACAAACATCCTCCGCAGCATCATCACAAGACAAATATCCAGTGAGTTGCATAATTTAAAAAATCTGAAGAATGTTATTCAGTCAGTGCAAAAGGTTCAGTGCTGAGCAAACATCTGTACTGCTCCGAGTCATGCAAGTAGTCAACGTAGACCAGAGTGGTTAAAAGACACGGCGTGCAAAATATCAAATACTGAAATATGAAAACATCACATAAAACAGAACAGGCAAGGATGCCATTGGCTTTCAGTGGGCAGCCCTGTAGCTCATTGGCTAAGAACAGACATACAGTTCTATCAGTTTATTGGCTGCTCCTATTGTATTCTCCCCATGCAAATGTCACATAAATAATACAATATTTGAGGGCGAATGAATGGCAACTTGTTCTTAAAACAAAGCTTATTTGTCCTTCACACACGAATATAAATCCTCATTAAGAAATGTACTGGCTTGCAGATATGCAAAAGAAAATAAAGAGGAAAACTTTGAATCTGTCTTGTTCACATCTCAAGGTGACTAAGCCAGCTCATTTCAGAGGGAAAAGTTGAACAAAAAAAGAAATGAATGAATGATAATTGGTCCAGAGCCAGGAGAGCTAAAGAACCAGCAGGGGGCGTGTTTGGTCTTCTTTACCCTCTTATTTTGCCTCCACAACCCCAACCCACGGCCCCTTGGACAAGCAAGCAGCAACCACCATGAACACCTTAAGACACCTGTCAATCAAAGCAAACACACCTTCAAATATACCACACTACTTCATATCATCTTAAATCAAATCTCTCCAAATTGCCACCAACACGCACATTACAAGAGGTAAAATTGGCAATGGGTTCTTCCAGGGTACTTTCTATAGAGTAGATCTGTTTCATTGACTTCAATACAGTTAGCCTTTCCAGAGCCAGTATCTAGTGGTTGTTGGGAAAACTGCACCTTAAGGCACTTCCTCTTTGGCTTTGCCCCTCAGCTGTGGTGGTTTCCGCTTTGTACCGCCTGCTTTTCTGTCTCCCCCTTCTTTTCTCCCATCCTCTTCCTCCTTCCACTGACTTTCTCCTCACTTCCTCTCACATGTTCTCCGGCCGTCCATACCCTCTCGCCCCCTCTCTCCCCTGTGTGAAGTGGTACAGCAGGGTGTGTTCATCCCTGAAGCGGCGCCGACCTGTCAGGTGATCTAACACTCCTCCCAGCTGGAGTCGAACGCCATACAGTTGAGCCTCGGCTCGCCCGGCGCAAAGGCCTCGCTCAATCAGCCAATCCACCAAATCACTGCCCCGAAAAACTCTTTCTATACTGGACTGAGAGTGTTGCCGGGGATGGAGTGGACTCGAAGCAAGATCATGCTGGTGTAGGTGGTCACGATTAGCTGGGTCATTAGTTTGGTTACACTGGAGCTGGGAAATCTGCTCCTCTGGGATATCAGAGTTGGAAATATATGCTTGGTGTTCATTCTCAGGCCCAAGCCAGGGTTGGGATGGAAGCAAATGACTGCTGCAGGATTCAGCTGGGTCATTAGTTTGGTGAACCTGGTGCAGATTCTGCCCCCCGTGGTTTAGTTGCTCCTGAGGATCCTGATGCGGGTGTAGGTACTGGGGCTGATGGGAGGGGGACTGCCTCAAAGCCACCTCCTCCAGTCCTCCTTCTCCAAACCTGTTATTATCAGAGGAAGGATTCACCTGTCGAAGCGCTCACACTCTCCCCTGAGCCACTAGGGGGTAATAAAGGGAAAAGGAAAGGGGAAAAGGGCAGCCAAAGGGAGGCAGAGAGGAATAAAGGAAATATGAGGGGAAGGAAGAAAAGCATTAATAAAGGAGAGGAAGGAGAAAGGAATAGTGGAAAGCATTTTATGTGTTAGAATAAAAGGAAAGAAAAGCACCCAAGATTCATAAACATCCAGAAAGTGTTTTAGTAAGTAGAGTTTAGTAGTAGAATAGCTAAATTTCACATTCAGCATCTCAAACATTTTACACACAACGTTTTACACTGCTTACCACTAAAAAGTAAACAGTCTAAATAGTTGAGCTAACATTGTTTTTTTTTGTTCTTAAGACTCAGACTACTGCTATAGCCTGCATTACTATAGCCTGGTTAAAAAAAATATTTGAAACATTAATAATATTACATTTCTAATAGTTGAGAGGCAATAGCAGGAGTCAAAGCTAATGCTTCTTCTGTATAATTATTCATATCAGCTAAAGTGGATAAAAAGCATGGTGAAACTCAAGAACATACAGTACTCAATTTGTTTTAAGAGAAATAACTACTTAGTGGATACAGAACCTCAGCAACTGCAGCAAAACAGATGAACAGATAGATGACATGCAAAGAGGATGCAGCGAAAGATTACTGAAAAATCAAAGGGAAACAACATAATAACCCAATGTTAATAATGTGGAAATTAACAGGGTAAAACTTATCTTGCAGGGACACAGCTGAACAGTTCAGATCAGAACTAACAAAACAGAACTAAATCAAAGCTGGAATAAAATCTCCATGGTCATTTACTTTCCATAAGCTTAACTCAACAAGCACAACAAAATCAATCTTTCAGCACATAATTACATGTGACAAAACGTACAGTAGGACACATGCAAATGTGACAAACAAAGCACACACTAACTAGTACTGATACCTGCGTGTGTGTACTATGTCTTGTACACACTGGTCTTTGTGGTAGCGGACAAACTGAGTACAAGTGAGCCTGACCTCCTCTGGTACACCTGAGGGACTCAAATCCTCGCTGTCTCTGCCCTGCCACAGCCCCAGCAACCTGACACAGATACATACATTATTTTAGTTCTCTGTGTCTCATTTGATCTCAAAGGAAATAATGAAATAATGATGAAGCCAGGATCTGCAGATCATCTAGAAGTCTCACCTCTTTTTAAAAGGCAGAATGATGAGGTGTCTGTCCAGACCAAAAATCCCAAAGGACAGGAAACCCTGGGACAAGGACAAAGAGAATTATGTATTCACAATTAAACATGTTTACACGTTTAATGATGACACACACACTGGTACCTGTCCATAGTTCGCCACAGCACAGAAGAACTGTAGTTCAAGGTAAAGTCTTCCAGGATCTTTGTTGAATAACCACCACAGACAGCTGGACAGGTTCTACGTATACAGACAGAGACATCGACCAATTAGACATCAGTTGAGTTATCCCTTGTTGATCCCTGTAGGGACATTCTTTCTCTGCATTTGACTCATCCTACGTACTGTGAGCAGTGGGCAGCCACCAACTCCATATCTGAGCCAGTGCCTTGGCCAAGGACACTGGCTCAGATATGGAGTATTAACATATCATACATGTGTTGATGGTGAGGGAAATGGGAGCACCCAGAGGTGCAGTTTCTGTTCAGGGGATCAAGATGTGGAATTCCATACCAACAGAACTCAGGATCTGAATGGAAAACTGGACCCTGACTGGGATAATTTTAGACTCAAACTGAATTTGTTTTTGAAGAGGAATCAGTACTACAGTCATGAATGATCTGGTGCATCCTGTTTTATGGTGCTTAGTGTATGTAGTCTGTCCTGTATTATTCCATCTGTTTTTCTTGCCGAGTTCTGTGTTTTTAATATACCTATGTATTGCTAAGTTTGTGTTTTGTACTATCAGTGTTTTAGTTCCCAGGGACAGATTATCTTGAGCTATAAATGTTGTGGTATGTGGTATTTATTTCTGCGTGTCCCTATACAAATAAACAAGTAAATGTTTTCAGCGTTCACACAGAAGACGGAGATTGTGGCTAACATTTTCTTGGACCGCAAGTTGTGTGATTTTCAAAGAGCATACAGCACTGTTGTTTAAATATGCATATAAAGAGAGATATTGGGCGTTCTACCTGATATGCGACCCTCCATCATCTCAGTAAATTGTGGAAAACACTATAGTGTGAACTCCGAAAACAACACTATCCTTCCATCTGCAATAATATGCATCTAGTATCTGGATAGTGTCTATGTGTGATTACACCAGACTCCTTGTTTTACATCCTGCTAATTTGCTAATTGCACTCACAGTCTCACACACACACACTTAATGAGTATTTTATCCTCACCGCTAGCAGGCTGACAAACAGCAGCAGACAGAGGAGAACGTGTCTGACTGTCTGCTTGTCGTCAGTGGTTTGAGGCCCTGGTGGCGGCAGGTTCAGCAGCTGCTCAGAGGAGGAAGAACCCTGCTGCTGCCCGTCACACAGCGCCCCACTGTGGCCTGGAGAGGAAAAGAAACATAACTGTTGTTTAATTTCAGGGTGATTCGAGAAATTCCTCACGTCCGGCTGTTTTCATGTTGTTTGAAATCATTGCTTACCTTTTATCACAGCTTTCCACTGATTTTGGCTTGGGTTTTATTCTTATTTTTTTTTACTAGAAGTAAATGTCTTAACACCTTAGCACTCACTGTTGTAAATGTGTAAAATTGATCCCAATTCTCTATTTCTGACCATTGCTGACATCTTGCTTTTGGTTCTGTGTTGGTTTGGCTTGTTTTAGATACATTACTGACAGATAGCAGGTCCCAATTGAACTGCACAAAATGAAAAGAGATTTGTGTTTGTTACCTGTGCTGTTTGTGTGCTCCCGCTGCGTGCTGGCTATCATGTCCGGTAAGGTCTGGAGAGGAGAGAAACTGTGGAGGTCTGGAACACACCAGAAACAGTACAAATATTTCGTCAACATTTTAACACATCCGGATAACATCCAGATTTTATACAGGAAAGCAGGGAGAGGACTGCTTTCAATCCAACTCAGAATAAACCAAAGGCATTAACACGGAAGAGCTACCTGAGTTGATGCTGCAGTCAGGTGAATCTGCTGTCTGTGGCTGTTGTTGTTGTTGTTGTTGTTGTTGTTGTGGATCCTCCAGGCCACCAGGGCCCCTCAGCTCATCACTTATACCTGTTACAGCAGCTCTGCTAAGGGCCTGGTAGCCCCTCTGCTCCCTGTCTCCCTGGCTGAGACCCATGAGAGATACCGCACCAAGCAACAGGCTGACTGCAAGCACCACTGCTGTGCTAATTATCTAGAGTGAGAGAGAACAGATTATGAATAAAACTTCCTTTGAGATTTATATAAATGTCTTTCTTAGAAGTAAGGTAGCTATCTCCATGACAAACTCAAACAGAGCAGAGGAAAGAGAGAAGATAGGGAAATACTAATTGAAATAAACAGTACAGAGAGAAAAAGACAATGTAAGGCAGAACAGAAGATGGTAGTTTACTTACCTGAGCTCTGCCATAGAAAAAGGCAGAGTCTATGGTATCAGTCCTCTCTCCTGATATCAGGAGTACTCCGACCATCAGGAAGGGAACCCTACACACACACACACAGACACACACACACACACAATTAAAACAATTTTATAATGATGATGCAATGATATTTGTTAATATCTCAGATCCTAGTAATTTAACAGTGGTACTTTTAAAAAAAAAAAAATACATTTTGGATGCAGTGATCTCTTGCTTTGTAACAAAGCTATTTCTATAAAAACAATTCACTTGAGGTGTTTGGGTGTGCTGACCTACCCCCAACCCAAAATCATGAATACTCCCGGGCGGAGTCTCAGCAGATCATCTCTGTTAGTCAGAGCCAGACAGAGAGGGATTAAACCTGAAAAACAGAACAAACGAATTACATGCAAGCACCAGTGTGTACATAATCACATTTAGGAGGAGTTCTCAAATATACACACTTACCAGTCCAAATGTAGGTGCTGTACAGAGACCCATAGAGCAGAGTGAAGGTAAAAATTTTGCCGAGAAGATTATCCTCTTTTTTCGCCAAGAAGTTCCACAGGATCATACTGACACACACCAAAAACTAGAACAAAGTACAGTACAGCAGGTTGAGGTAGAATAGGGAAGTGAATGTGAGAAGCTAATGTGCTCAATTAACATTTCATCGATAAATGAACAGAGATCAAAACAAAAATGAGCTCCAAATATGATTATGAGAAAACATCACTGGTGAATGACATGCTCTACAACACTTTAATATTCTGTTTTAAGCTTGAAATCACTGACCTGAGCCAGGAAAAGATTTAAGGCAAAGAGGTGAGGAAGTCTGTTAAATTTCCTGCTTAGCAACATCACTATTATGGTCCACACCTGAGAAGAAAGGCACAAGATTAGACATTTTTACAAGTCAAGTCAAGTCAAGTCAGCTTTATTGTCAAAATTACGACTGTATGCTGGGAATCACTTGGTTATTTATCTGTCAGTAACAACTTTCTGTCCTTAAGCTCTAACTACTGCTTACATGTAACCTAACCTAATGAAATCTCTCCATTCTTCAGTATTTCTTCCTGTAAGACTTATTGAAGCATGGTACGTCTGGAAAACCTACTTACCAGTGCTAGAAGGCAGACAATGCTGATGTTGAAGCTGACATTTTCAAGTTCTGTCACCAGCGGTGTCGGGTCCATTAGAGGGATTGTTAACAACCAGGCCGACACATACATGATCGGTGCAGACAGAAATGTACTGATTACCATCCCTGATGTTACCTAAAAGAAGGACAGAGAGACAGATGTTTAAAAACAGAGGGCACGCCACTAACTGACTGTGTTAACATGTAATCTGGATACAAGGCAAATGTATTGTTGGAGCTTTTCTGTTTATATATAATATACTTTGTGCAAACGTGGATCCGGCAATATTAATGAGAAAACTAACAATAAATATTCTAATATACTGTAGCTAATTAGTTAACTTTAAGCTAAATATTAACCAGCAATTAGCAAAAGAAGCTAGCTTGTGTTTCTACTTCCTCTGACACAATTCAGACTTTCTCAAACTTTCCTCAGCCTGCTCCAACACACCAAACATTTTAATAAACAAGAAATCTTTGATGTTCATGTTGATAGCGTTTCTTTTCCTTGTTGGTAAAATGAATCCTACTACTACTACTACTACTACTACTACTACTACTACATGTAAGTAGAGTAGAAGAATGTAACTGGGTGGTGACATGGTGTGGGGGATGAATGCTGAGTATTGTAGATGCTGTTGAAACAGTTAAATGACAGACTTCTAGCAAGAAATTCTAGCAAAAACATGGTGCATGTGATGCTCTTATAGCGTATTCTTGTCATATGACCTGACCAGGAAACCGTGACAATGCCTTGTTTGTAAGTAAACACCCATGCTTCACAGCTGAAAAGTATGTTTTAAAGTAGTCTATTTTAGTCCTGATTTATAGTAAGACAGCTTGAAGTATCCCTAAAACTCTTCTATTTTATTATAATGTTTAAAATATTGTTTTGTTGCTTCAGTATTGTTTAAAACTAATTTCTTACAAATTGCTGCTTAACCAGGATTACTACATCATTGGTACTTACCACCTCTAGCTCCATGTTGTAGTGTGCAGCATAGATGGCCACACTGGGTGCGGTCGGGAAGACTCCATATAGGAAAGCAAAGTTAGACAAGCTAGTATGGTTGGCACTTGAGCTGTTCACTCCTACATCCAGAATATCCACCATGTCTTTACAGACTAGCGGCATCACCAGGCTGGAGAGGGAAGAGGTAGAGCAAGAGAAAATAAAGCTATAAAACCCTGGTAGCATCTGCAAATATACATTTATCATACATTTTTCAACTGAATAATTTCAGAAGCTACCAAGCATTAACCTTTCCATTTCTGATGACCACGTAAGACATTTTGAGACTGTAGCTGGCGGTCACATTGCACCGGACTGCATTATATTGAGGGGTTTCTGATTATCTGCCTGCTTCATGTATGTACTATAGCTAAATATATTAAGAGATATTTAAAAACACTTTTAATGCATCTGTATAGGTCCTGTTTGTGCATGCATGTATTTCAGACCTGTGTGTGTAAAATAACAAGTGAAACTGAAAGAATGAATTTCCCTTAGAGTGATTAGTAAAGTATGCCTTCTTCCTTCTTTTTCTTTAAATGTATAGTAATATACAGTAAACTTTAAGTAAGGCCACCGCCCTATTATATCTCACACACACAGTCCCACTTACAGTTTGGCCGTGATGAGGAGAATCAAGGCAACTCCAGTGTCTCTGGTTAGTTTTCTAAGCTGGCCAACCTGCCACAGAAACACAGATATTAGTTTATTCTGATGATAACCTTCGTGTTTACACACAGTTTAAAAATAAATTATTTTATTATTTCTTTTATTTGAACAGGGACAGTGCACAATAAAACATTAACCCTGTATATAACAAGGAGAGATGCATTGCACTGGGTTTTAGCAAATTGCTATTTTCCATCTGTAGTCCCTGGGCAGGTAAATGGAACAAAACCAAACTCACCATAGTGAGGCCAAGGTAAAACAAAGCTGCCCCTCCAAAAGAGTTAGCCAGGCCATCTATGAACTCTGATAGAACAGCAGGGATCTGCTGTCCCAGGGCAAAGTGGGCGATGATTCCTACTACCACCATGAATACTACGGGGTTCTTCAACACCTGGAGAGGTGATACAAAGAGGGTTACATAAGACAATTTCAAACCCCAGTGGGTAACTAAAAGTGTGTCAAACTAAGAAAAAACTATTGCAATGTGTTAGGGTGTAAAGATGTGTTACACTGGTTTATCATTCACCTTAAAACACCTGTATACACAATACCTGTAGAACTACAACTCCCACAATGCCAAGAGTGCTGTGATGTGAATGGCTGGCCTGCCTCCACTTCTGCACCTCACAAAGAGCGAAGCCGATGGGATTGAGGAGCATGAGGGACGGTGCACTAGAACTAAGATGTAGCTTGGGAGGTACTCTGGAATGTGCTCCGATACAAGCATCACTGAAATGCAAAGACAGAGTCGGCAGAGAGGGAGAGAGAAGAGAGAGAGAAGAGAGGAAGGAGAGAAGAGAGAGAAGGGGGAGTGTTTGAAATGTATTTTTCTTCACAGACAGTTTGTATCAGGAGTAAACATCAGTGTTAGTGTTCTGTGTCTGCCTCACCTATGGGGTATCCTAAAGCAAAGTCATTGCTCTGCGTAGCAAAGATGGCGTACAGGCCAGCTTTGCTGTATCTGCTGTCTGGACTGGCCACCATCAGAGTCAGTACACATACCAGCACAAACACTGTCACCTACACACAGGATGGAGGTCAGGTTGCGTGTATTTGTTTGGTTCTTTATTACAGTACCATCTCGCATTACTTCCACAGACAATTTACCAAAATAAGACTTTCTTTGATGGGAATCTTCTCAAACTAACATAATATACAATCAAAAGCACATACACATATTGTTACCACAGTGTGACCGCACACACATGCACAGGCACCAACCTTGGCGACCAGGACACTCCAGAGAAACGCCCAGATGACATCTCCAAAGTCCAACAGCACCATGTTTTTAAAGAGCAGAGCTGGGAGAGCAAACTTAGACACAAAGTTCCCCAAACCCTTCGCCTGGCTCTCTGTGATGATATCTGCCCTATAGGTAGGAACAGAATAAATGCACATGAAAGCCTCAGTGGTTGTCATTTCCATATTTTCATTTGGTATCTCTACAATTCTCACATACAGCAGAACACTAACATGCTGGCTGCATACATGCAAAACTTAAGTAAATAAAATGTCAGTAGGCATCTTTTACTAGTGAGTACCTGTTCGTACACAACCCTACCTGCCAGCTATGTAGCCACACATTATGATGCCAAAGCACTCAAGGAGAGCCGGGAAAAGCTTGTCGATGGACATGTGGGGAACCGCAGCAGAGCCCGCCAAGGTATTATGGGATATGTTCTTCCCATGGATCATCACGTAGTTGTTGGCAGTCTCCATGGTGATGATGGGATGGGGGTCAGGGTGGGTCAACTGGTGGCTGGGGAATATCAGCACTCTGGAAACGATGGAAATCCATACAATCAGTGGCAGGAGTAAGAGAAAAAAAAACAGGCAAGACAGAAACAGAGAGAGCAGAGGATGAGAGTGAGGAAGCGCAGATGGTAATGTGTCCCTGCTGGAGGGAACTCCCGAGGAAAACAACACGCATTGTTTGTATATGTGAGGTGAAGGAGGGGCTGCTGGTCGTGTAATCCCTCTTTACCTCTCTGTGCCTGAACACACCGTTAGCTGAGTTAGCAGAGTGAAAAGTCAACCCGCTTCACTCAATGACAGGAGGTTTCTACTCTCTAACGACGCTGTAGCAAACAACGTTAAACGTTAAACAGCCTAAAATGCTCTCCACGGCAGCACCATTGTCAGTGCCCGCTGACCGTGAGAGCGAGCTAGGTGCATGCTAAAAACATCAGGGAATATACAGCGTTAGTTACATTAGAGGGCGCGGTAAGACATGCCTTCAGCATTTAGCATTGTTATATTATTTCAAATAACCTGTTTAAGAATGCTGTGCTTACCCCTGTTACTTAGAGGAGCATTTCTGCTCAGATAGACCAGGTTCATCTGTCTTGTTGTTGGAACAAGCCCGTGTTTTGCCGTAAATGTGAAGCTCTGCTCCTGAATCTGACAGCTGCCGAGAGTGGCAACGCCCTGAAATGTGTCTGACAGGCGATTCAGCCAATCATCGCCGAGGCACGCTTCAAACTCCGACTGTGATTGGATAAAAGCGTGAGGGTTGACGCTGCATTTAGGTCATAAACTGAATGACTAAATCTTTGGACCTCGAAGCTCATTATGTGTTTTATAGCAGCTTACCGGTCACAATGTGAACACCAAATGAAATCCAATAAAATTAAAGTGGTTTATCTGGCTTTTGTCCTTCATACGTTAAATACGGTCATAATATCCCTTCAGTTGGGAAGTAGCAGCGCCTTAAATACAGTAAGGATGAAGAGGTTTTTTATATATGTCTTTATCTGACTATAATGTTATTATAAAAGTAAAACTAATTAAGACTATATATCTCCCTTTCATCTCTTGAAATTTGCAGCATAATGCGACATAGTTAATGTCAGTGAGATGCATTTATACATCAGGATGATAGTAGAGGTTTCCTTTTCTTCATCAAATTAAGCAAAGACAATGACATTAACGCTGTGAGCAGGATTTGAACCTGCGCCGCGGGAAACCCCATTTTGATTTCGAGTCCAACGCCTTAGCCACTCGGCCATCACAGCTCCTTTCACTGATATCATCAAGGACAGACAGTACACCAGTCTGTACACCACTTATTTACATACTCATAACCAGGTCAAACATCCCAGGATCCTTTGGTGTCCTTTCTGTTCTATTCCATATGATATTTGACAAATATTGTTTTTAACTGCACACTGATACAGATTGATGATACATAACATACTGTACCCTGGAAGACATTGTTCAAAAATAATCTTAGATTGTAAAGGTCCAGAGTGTCTAGGGAAATAGCATGTGAATATTGAAACAAAAATGTCCTGTATTCCATACATAACAGTGTTCCACTTTAACTTCATGAACTTAAGTCATTAAATTAAATATTAAAGAGTAGCAACACCAAAAAAAACATTGTATCTAATTTAGTTGCTTCACAGGCGCACATTGATGTATCTGACTTTTTCTTAGAGAACATTGAGATTTTCTTTAGCTGGGGGTTAATAATCAAATCAACACAGAAAACCCTAGTGTAGTCTATTTTAAACCTACAGTAGCTGTTTAAGGATGGTTCTCTGACAACTCCCAAATCCACAGGCATGAGGCAGTTTAATTATGGGAGAACAATACAATGCCAGTTAAGTAAAGACCTCTGCATGTTCACAAAAGAGATTTAAACTACTGTCAGCTGAGAAAAATGACACTGTTGGATAAACCTGGTGGCCTTTCACTGAGTTTGTGAAGTCCATTATAACCTGTGCAGGAGCATCCAACCAGTTACAACAGTCACTGTCAGACACTGAGCAATGGATGAAAGCACAATGATAACCAAATACCACAGTATTAGTAGTAGTCATTAGAGATTGACTAAATTTATTTTGAGTTATATCATATGATGATATAATAGCCAAAACCCAAATCGCTTATATATAATGACTTACTGACGATTCAATATGTTGTCCAGCTTTATTGCACAAACATGTAAATGATGCATATTGTTTATCATACATAGTAAATCATATGGATCATCATTCATATGGATGCTGACATTACAATTTACCGTCCTTGTCTGTGATCAAATGTTCATCCTTGTGCAGGAATATCCAATTATTTCAAATGTATAGTCTAATGAAACCACATTTTCACCCCCCATCAAGCATCTTAAAGCATTTTATTTATTAATGAATACTTCCATATGATTGTCTTTTAGAAAATGTTTCTTTGACCAACACATGATAATAGTACATTGTATACAAAAGACCATTCAAAAGCAGTGCTGGGTGAAGCAAAAAAATAATACTGCACAATTCAGACACATAATTTAAAATAATACAGTCCTTCAATACCGCTTGATTAAATCATACAGATACATACACAGGTCCTTCATAGTAAGTCAATGCAGCTTTTAACAAAACAGCAAAATAAGAATCAGTTATATTGTAAACCAATGCTGCCGTAACGCCATACAATGTCCATTAAAACATCTCAATCATAAACATTAAATGTATGCTCGCGTCACATTTAACCAATGAAAAGTACCGTTCAGTGGTTCCAATGGAAACACACAGATGTGCAGTAAATATACATACTGTGAAGGCACATGTGGCTTTGGCAACTTAAACACCCGCGTTTCCCCTGATGTTTTATGCAGCAGTAGCAGGAGGTTGTGGCCATTTTTAGTTTTGGTTCCATGTCTAACTATGTGCTGACGTTGTCATTAAGACACTTCATTATATTAAGATATTATCTAGATATTGTGGCAATCAAGCTGCTGTATTGCTTGTTTGTTTTTTTTACATCAGCATAGGTGATCCAATCCAGCTCAACAAACATACATAATTTAAGGCACAAAAGGCTAATTCCCTTAATTCTTTTAAGCAGCCTGACCATTTCAATCCTGAAGAGAAAAAGGCACAATGGAAACACTGGTACACAAATAGAGAAACAGCTTGTCAGCACACTTGAGGAAACGGATTGGTTGCATTATAAGCCCAGCACTGTAACCCTGGGACTCCGATGTTGACAATAATATTGCCATCAGATGTTCATTTAGCTTTACCTAATGCCGTCTCTGCTGTGTAAACATGCTGGGAAAGTCTCATGTGCTACCTGCCAAATGCTGGTTTATTTGTCAAGTATTCTTTCCTAAAAGTGTAGCAGGTTGGTAAAATATAATAACTAGCAAGCAATTTCTGTCTATCAACCACTGTAAGAAAAGGATGAAAGGGTTAGTTAATGGAATAACATCAGTGTGGAAAAGTTCATGAAAATACTCGTTTGTAAATGATCACTGTCTCACAGCAACCAGGTCCACAAAGGCCACCCAAAAAGCATCTTCCAGCTACAGCACGGTTGTAAACCTGAAAATAATACATAGTGCCAAAAGAGGAGCGAGTTTTTTTCTTTTTATCTGAACACAGTGTACCAGAGTAGAAACAGTCTTTGGTCTTTGAATGCCGCCATTCTGTTGCATTCTTCCGTCTATTTACTTGGTCAACCATATTTCAGGTCCATTTTACATGTTGTAGTCCATCGATGAACCACGTGCCATAGGTAAAAGCACAATGAGCACAACAGAGAAGACGAGAGAGAGACAGAACAGGACGAACAAGACAGACAAGAGGAGAGAGAGAGAGAGGGAGACATGTAGGGAGACAGGTAGGGAAACAGAGAAGGTAGTTCTAGGGGGTGTGTTTGCTGCCACCTCTTCTTCACCTAGGTACTGGAGGAAGAGGAGGAGCTCCTCTCTCCTTTTTACCCGAACCTAGAAAGAAGCAAAGACAGAGAGGAGTTAGTATTTTCTTCAGTTCTAGAGGAGATATAATTTCCTTCCACCAGGTGGCACTGTGTCACACTGTGGCTGTATTTACCCAGAAGTTACGATCCCATTTGTTTGTTTGTTTGACCACATATCTCAAAAACTAGGAATATTTGCAAAAACGTTGTTCACAGGGAATGAAAAAAAGTGATTCAAATTTGTTGAAAATAAAACATAGCAGAGATGCAGTGTTTGCTCTAGTGAATACCATCTACTTTTATTACGTACATTTTCTTTCACTTGTCTCTTGTAGTCTTTTAGCCTAGACATTGCTTAATTTCTTGAATTCACATAAAGAAAGTCTTAACAAAATTTAAGCTGAATTGAAAGTTGCAAATGGGCAAGTTCAGTTGTATGATTTGCATGTTTTAATTAAATATTAGTGATTTCAACAGCTAATTTTATGGGTTGAGAAAATTCAGTGACTGAACACCGAGGGACTGCAGGACAGTCTACCTGAAAGCAATTGTTCTGAAAAACATTTTGGAGACATAAGATACATCTGTTGTTTGTGTGTGTGTGTGTGTGTGTGTGTGTGTGTGTGTGTGTGTGTTTGTGTCAGACTGACCTTTGCCATCAGTCTTGGAAAGCTTGCTGGGGTAGGTCTTCTGGAAGGGCACGTAGGGCTCCGGTGGAGGCAGGTCAGATAATGGATGGAAATTGAATCGACACTCCCATTCATCTGTTAATAGAGAGAGAGGGACGTCAGTGGGTCTGTGTCCATCAGACTGGCAAAAGATACAAGCTTAACTTGGCACATTATGAATATACATGTAGTGCACTAACTGACTGACTGACTTTTTCAATCACAGTCTTCTAGTTTAACAGAACATGAATGGAGGGCAGTGGGTTTGGTTCTTCTGATTTGATACAGTGTAACAAAAGATGAGCAAAATAATAGCTCAATATGTTTCTGTAGAACACAATAACAGGAGTCAACTGGTCCAGAGAGACAACTAAGAGAACACGGAGAAGAACATTTTCTGGCTTTGCTGGCTATCAAACTTTTAAATTTGATACCCAGCACTACAAAGAGTATTTGTGTCTTCAATCTGTTTAAAAGCACTACACAGTCACAGAATATTGTTACTTCAGGAAATGTGATCAAAAACAGATTTTTCTGGAGCAGGACATTTAGGACCCTTTGTCACTTCTTGTCCCCGCTGCCTTCCAAATCAAACTTACTCCTTTGGTTCAATGGGATAAAAACAACACAAACGGGAGGTCAGAGGGTTTCTGCCATAGCTGAACACACACAGTGGAACTCGTGGTAAAAACAACACTGAGGGCAAACAGATTTCTCTTGTAGAAACTAGGAGAGTACAGTCTGCAAAAAACACAGTCTACAAGGAAGGCATGTAGTTTGTATTTTCTCCCAGCAAAGTGACCACTAGCTGTTTTTCTTGCCTGATTTTCCTGTTTATTTTACTGTAAATGTACTTTTGAGCCATTCTTTTCCTCCTCAGTTTTTCTTTACTCTACTGGTCAAATACAGCATTTGCATCTATTTTTTTGTCCTACAACTTACACTGTGTTTGCTTTCTGCTCTCCATTTCCTGATTATGTTATCAATACTCACATTACCCAAACCAGCACCTTCAGGGATTTACTCACCCTGTATCTGGTTATGGTGAGAGTTTTGGAAGCCGTTACCCATGGGTGGTGGCGGAGGAAGGGGCCCTCCCGCCCCCGGTCTGTCTGGAGGGAGGGGAGGTCTACCGCCAGGTCCACCGCGAGGGGGCTCTGGCCGACCAACAGGAGAGGGAGCTGCCGATGACCTCACACTGCCCCCACCCACGCTACGCCCTGAGGGAGGAGGAGGAAGAGGGCCTTTGGAGGTAGAAGTAAAAAATTGACATGTTAGTAAAAGTGAAGTGATTCTTTTATAATACTGAAATTCACTTCCATCACAGGTCCTGAATACCCATCAAATATTCACAGCGTAATCCATTGTTCAATAAATCAATAAAGTTTCACCTGAGCGTGGAGAGGGTTGGTTCCTTCCGAGAGATGGCGGTCGCTCGTTTGGTGGAGGAGGGAGAGGTCCTGCCCGACTATGTGGTGGAGCTGGACCATGGCTGGTAAAGAGAAACTGAATTTTAATATATGTACCAACTATACAATGTTTGTGTTAAAAAAAATAGAGAATAAAAAGTTAAGCAGATCTTAAGCAGTGGAAAGTGCCAATTTATTGGACAAAACAGCTTTGCTTCGGAAGAACAAACTGTATATTTGAAAGTGAATATACAGAATGAAAACTGAGGGGGGACATGCATCACCTGCCCTAAACTCTACAATGGGCAGCTCCTGCTTGTTAATGCATGCAAGTGTGTTAATGAAAAGTCAATATCCAAACAACTTACATTTTTAAAAAGAGACTGTTCTTTTTAGAGGGAAGCTACATGGAGAGGTTTGCATGATATGTGAACTACATTATTACAGAACAGCTATTAGATTTGAATCTATGCAAATTTTAACACAGTAGATTCAGCCATCCAGAACAATCTCTCAACGTCTGATGTCTGATAGGAAATGCTGTGTACACACCTGGCCCTCAATGCAACCATCCATGATCAAACACAATAAATGGCAGAAACAGATAAAATGTTACAGTACCTGTTGAGTGAGCTGTTCCTTTGGGGAAGACGAGGGGTGCTGTGATCGTCCCCTCCAGCTGGGGTGGGTGGGACAGGAGGAGGGCCCGGTCGACCTGGCGGGAGAGGGGGCGCACCTCCACCAGGTGACGGCCGAGAGGTAGAGGAAGGGACAGCGGAAGGTTTGGAGTTGACAGAAGGAGGAGGAGGGGGCATATCGCGGGGCATAGATGGCCGAAGACCTCCCATAGGAGCTGGCGGTGGTGGGGGTCGGTCATCAGGAAGTGGAGGCCTCCCTCCGGGAGTGGGCGGAAGGGTGGGTCGGCTGTTGCTTGGGGGTGGATGAGGAGGTGCAGAGAATCCTGGTCTTGGCCCAGGTGAGGAGCCCCCTGGTGGGGGAGGGAGAGGTCCGTGCCTCCCTGGTGGAACACTAGGAGGTGTAGGTCCTGAAGGCGGGCTGGGCCTGGGTCCTCCAGAGAATGACGGTGGAGGTGGACCCCCACGAGACTGGAAGCTCTGGGTTGGTCGAGGTGTGTTTGGTACAGGAGGAGGAGGGCCTCCTGGAGTGTCCGGTCTGGATGAGAAACTGGGCCGGCCCTTGGGAAGATCAGGGGTGTTTCCCCGGACACCACCAGGGGTTCCTGGGAGTTTAGGTGGGCCTCCACCACCACCGAAAGGGCTGGGCGCAGAAGGGCGACCTCCTGGGGGGAGCATGGGTCCTCGGCTGGGTCCCGAGTCTGGAGGAGAAGAAAGAATAGTCAAATTTACTATACTGGAGGTGTTACTAAATGCAGTGCTTTTAGTGTTGTTCATTATCATTATTTTCCAACCATCCATCAGCTATATCAGTTTATTCTTGAGGGTTGCAGGGGACTGGAGCCAAACCTAGCTGAGACTGGGTGAGAGGCAGGGTACGCCCTTGACAGGTTGCCAGTCAATCACACATGTCTTTAGACTGTGGGAAGAACCCCCAGTGCACCACCATACAGTTGTTATAATTATTATTATTAGCACTATTCTTTCATGTTTACCATTGGACTTGTTTCCTGCAGACCTCAGTTTTGGCATCCCTCCTGCAAACAGGCCTCCTAAACCAGCAGGAGCCCCACCACCTCCTCCACCACCACCACCTCCTCCTCCTCTCCTCCTCCTCTCCCCTCCTTGGTTCTGAAAGGATAAACAATAAGATATTACATGATGTTCCATCTGCTCAGGAGCATCTTCTACACTATAATAGCTGCTGCACATTTGTGTAATGTTGGAATGGGGCCATTTAGGACCAGTGTGGAGCCAAGCCGGTCTTTTGTTGTACATTTTATTGTTTTAGGACAGGTCAGCTGTTGACTTGTATTGTTTTTATCCCCCGCCCCTTAGTTGTTAGTTTTAACTGAGTCATGCAACTAAAGTTCTCTTTTGTGGACTAGTTAAACGATAGAATAGTAAGTGCTATTAAAGTAGAATCTCATCTTACTGTCCAGTGTAAGGGGTCCATGCGGTCATTGGTAACGGCTTTCTTTAATCTGGCTCCTTAGAAAATGTCACTCAACAGGCGGGACCTTCATGCTGCTGTGTACGGCTTAGATTTTGGCTTCTTCTGGGTATTGGCGCTGAAAACAAACACAGATAGAGGCACATTCACGTCATGAGACAGGTAACGCAGAAACAGCAGAAAGAGGGAGAAAATAACTAATTATCTATTATCTATGTGGTGTTGATCAAATTTCAAACCAGGATGACAGTGTGGTAAGAATAAACAGGCAGTGAGTGGGATAAAATCACTGACCCAAACAGGAAAAGGACAGTAATTTATGCCCCAAAAATGTCTCTGCTGAGCAGGGTCAGAGGGACAGACCAGCAGATCCCACTGGGCAGAGAGACACAAGACAGATAGAATGACTACAAGAGCAAGGGTGGGCGGAGGGAGGCCCTGGGGGGTGGTGGGGGAGGCGGGGCTGGCATCTTCCTCTCTCCACTTTACTCTGTCTGCACTGGATGCCGCACCCTGGGGAACAGATAACAGAGACACACTTAATAAAATAAAACAACGTGAATTAAAAATGCAAGATGTTTTAGCAGTTGTTCTCCACACTTGAGACTCGGGTCCTTAGACAGTTCCACAGTTTCTTCACGAACCAAAAGTTAATTCTATCTCTTCTTGAACAAAAAAACCTTTGCTAAAGCCAGTGTCCAAGTGCCCTAAGCTGCAGTTCCTCTAATGTGAGCATCTAATTATATTAAAGTGACCTTTTCTTTGGAAATAAAGAAAACATATTTGAAGCAAGGAACAGTGGTGACAGTATTAAATTTCACTTCCTTAAAAGGTGTCTTGGTGACAAGTTTAAAAATCACTTTGCAGAATACAGATATTTTGGGGGGGATTATTTGCTTGATTGACAGGGATCCCGGCCAATCACACTCAGCTATGGTGGTTGCCACTTGCTCACCATAGCTCAGCTCCACCCAGCTTTTCAGCAAATCAGGGGCTTTCTAGCTCCTGTAACAGCCAATATGGCAAAAATTGGTGAACACAACCTTAGCATTTAAAATATCCCTTCAGGATTTGAAAAAACATTTTCTTTTTGCAAATATTGCAGGGAGTGTTCACAGGAGGGACTACAGACAGAGTTTGAGCAGAAAAGGTTTAAATGCTTAAAGTATGTGAGGAACAGTAAGTTATAACTCCAATCAGCTGATTGTAAGCTTACATGACAGACTTACAATAAATGTTTCATCTAACAGGAACTTGAGCGGTAAGTTCCCTAAAACATGACTTCAAAACACGCTGTAAATTTAGAGCTTACTTTTATAATGGCAGATTCTTACAAACCATGATACATTGTATGGGTGTAATGTGCAGAGCAGGACTGATGCTTTCCATTCTGTGTTACTGACACTGGGAATTTTCTTGCAAATATTAAAGCTGCCCTTCCAATGAGGGGCAACAACAGAGTGGAAAGATTCATCCTATTTGCAATAACTGTCTGATAAGAGCGCAGTTTGTTTTTTTATGCTGAAGCTCAAAATTCATTTTGAAAATTTAATGCAAACACCAGTGATTATAAATAGTAAAAACACAACCTGGATTTCTTAGTCCAAAAACTTAAATACAGTTAAACAGTTTTCTAAACCCCAATACTGACATGAGAAGAGCCAGATGCAGCAATTCTCCATCTAGACTACTTTTTGGTCTGGTACAAACACCGAAACACAATTCAGAGTAGATATTTAGGTACTTCTCTATCACCCATTTTATAAAAGGGTTTATATTGAGCGCTATCAAGGTGTCAAAGAAACACATCAACGAGGTGGAACTGAGATTACTGTAACTGGCACAGATGTATACAGCATATGAACAATGTCATGCTTACATGCCCACAGTATCAGTTCATTTCACTGCTGTTACACAGCTTAGACGCGGCGCAAAAACACCAAGACGCTGGACCTAAGCTGTATAAGCCACATGAAGGTGAGAAGAAAACAATGTGGACAGCTGTGGGATGTGCGGGGTGATGAGAACAAAGGTCACAGTGGGCTGGAATTGCCAAAGATACATTTTGGCGAGTAGCCAAATGTAACAAACAATGTCATCTATGCTATGTTTCTCCCTCTCTTACTTTCTCCCAAGCACGTACGGCATCTAATAAAACAAAGGGCATATTTCTCCTTCATTCTAAAGACTGTGACTGATAGCTATCATGCTAGCCAGCTAGCATAAGTCACCACAGAGAAGCAGCCGAGCCCTCTCAATAAGGGAACTTTTGTCAACCAACCAGCCAAAAGTTGGTTTAAACTGATCAATGCAAGCACTGGTAAACTGGTGTCTCACTCAATGAGAAATAAATCAGTCGACTAGAAAGTATACTAGCCCTCCAGGTAGAAAACAGCACTTCGTCAAAGACTCATCCACCAGTCAGTCCATTAGAAGGCAGGATCAAAAGTGGTTGTTGCACAATGGTAATCGCTGATGCAACAATGTTCATCACACTAATGAGTGCTAGATAATTATCTACCACAGCCGCCACTGTCATCGTCATCACTTTATTGTCCCAGGGCAGTGGAAAATAAATCAACAACAATAGTACTCAGTAACATACTCATTGCATTATGTTTTTGAACACACCTGATGCAGCTGGTTCAGGTGTGCTAGAGCAGAGAGATCTGGAAAATGGGAAGGTAGGGGTGCCTGGAGGGCTTGAGTTGGGATCCCAGAGGCTATTATTATTATTATTATCATTATTATTATTATTAAGTTTTTTTCTTTAAGCCTTTTTCCTGTCATCTAATTCAGTTACAGAAGAGGCAAGTTGCATATAACTGCATATTACCACCTGTCACTCCGACACGTACACACACTCGCATTCAAATTCACACTTAAATAAGCCAGTTTCCCCTCACACAAATACTCACACAGCTTAGCCTCTCACTTCATTTCAAGTCACACACACACACACACACACACACACACACAACTCAGACCATCCTCTAGGGGCCTCTTACTTCCTGTATGCTGCTGACAAACAGGAAGTCGCTACACGGCTCCAGCACCGCAGCCATCCGGTTGCCAGGATGATGATAACACTACAGCTTAGCTTCGCATCATTTTGACTTTCTCCTCCTTCATCTCACTTTCTTTCTCTCAACTGTTCATCACTCCCACACTGCATTTGTGTATCACCTCTCTTTCCCTTTTTTTTCCTGATTCTGCTTGCTCTCTTAATCTGCACCGTCTTGACGTTCACCCCTGCATCCCCTATCAGCCTTATGTTCTCCATTTCTGCCAGTTCATGTATGGTTTGTCAGCTCCAACACCTTATGCTGAAAACTGACCACAACAATGTTTTCACGCATGCTGGCTTCCCCCTTCTGGTATTATTTGAATACAGTTCATGCTGCATTAAAACTAAATTTAAAAAAATAACAGAAGACACCTTGAACGTCGGGTAGTTTAAAGCAACCGAACTGACCTGCTGGACTCTGTTCTTGCATGACACAACACACTCCTTTAAATGTGTGCCTAAATCCAAACTGGATCTGAGTGGTAAAGCCAAGACCTAATAAGAAAAGGAAACATGGAAAATAATACTAATTACAATATTACTAAAAGTCTTAAAGGAATAATCACTGGGAATGTTTTAAGGAATATTTCTGAGAGATACCTCAAGAAAAATGAAATACATTTAAAATATGAAGCCATATAAAAGGTCAAGTTAGTTAGAATCATTTTTGTTTTACAAAATATGTTATCCCCCATATTTCTGCACTGTCAACATTGTCAACATTGTGTAAGCTGAAAATGTGTTCAAATGTTCATGGTCCCTAGAAAATCAATCCATAAGACTTTCCTCTGGTGCCACTATGAGGTTAAAATGTGGCTCACAGTGAAATATCTAACCCATGAAATTTGGAACTGACATTCATGTCCCCCTCATGATGAATTGTAATAACTTTATTGATCCTTCAGCATGTTAGCATTCTTACTGCGAGCATGCTGCCATGCTAGCATTAGCATTTAGCCCAAAGCACCGCTCTAAGCACTGCACAGCCTCACAGAGTCTTAATCTTGAAGGTGCACATTTTTTGAAAGCTGAAAGAGGATTCGCTGTCTCCCTGTGTACTTTATTAAATATGTAATACATTTTTTTCAGTAGACTAAATCTCCACTAAAAAAATCCATTCAGATGACAATCTGTGTTGAGTGTTTGCATTGCTTTACAAACTGCCTCTGTGATGTTGAGTTAAACAACCTTATCTCCATTACACCAGCCAAGTTTATTTGAAATATCCATATACTGATCTAAACCTAATATAGAATCTCCAACATGATAATACACTGATCATTCTTTCTATAGATAAGCTGTTTACATGCATCTTTTATATGATCACTAATTTTCAAATATAGACCATGATGATGAAAAATCCTGCAGAGGAAATAAGCTTGAACACTGAGTGAGAGCCAAGAATTAACAGGACATGTACAGTACACATGCCTCTGTATGAAGAGCTTAAACCTGCTATACGGTTCTTTACGTGAACGGTGAATGTGTATGATGTCTGTATGTGCCAACACAAAGATTAAATATTAAGAAGATGCTGGAGTACATGGAAAGTTAGTCTACGATTCCTACTTTACATATTTTGTAGAGTCATATTTCATTCAGTGAACTCCATGATGAATGAAAACTATTTCAGCAGAGTTTGAGGTTGAGTAGTAAAGACAGGGTTCATTCAGACTTCTTGATGTATATTATTATCTGTTAGAAATAAATTAAAAACATAAACCCTACATTTGATATAATAATTAAATTAAACATAAAATTGTCCCGTTCTGGATTTTTGGTGTCTTTTTCATGACATGTTGAATTTCTACAGATTTTTTACATTTGAAGGCTAGAATTTCTACGTTCTCGCTGAAGCTTTACTGCATGTGGAACAATCACTGACACAAACTAATCTGGAATTCCAGCAGCGAACAGTCACAAGGCAGAGCTACATACACTCACATAAAGATGTCTTATATATGTGAACAATGTCTGTTACACATTGTAGATTACCTATTTAATCAAAACATCTCTCAGCACTAGTGACAGTCTGAAGCTGCATACAAGATACAGACTGAAAAGACAGGGCCACACAGTACAATGTTG